CTAACAAGTTGTTTTCTAACAAGTTGCAGCCCGTGGTGAAGCTCATTGTACTGGTCTATAAGACGATGCCCTCCTGAGGGTTGAGTATGCTGGGGCGTATGAAACCTCTTGCCCGGGCTCTGCACACTTCATGCTGGTGAGCATTAGCTGCTGTGATTGCTGTCTTTCTGCTTGTCTTGTCTTGTTTTCCCAGAATCCCCAGTGTTTGAACAGCACCTCACACACATCAAGTGCCCGGTAAATGGTTGTGGAATGAATGAAAAGTGGAGCCCTGCGACAGAGGGCCCAAGGCCCCCAGCCTCACAGTCCACCTTACCATCCAGCTCTCATTTTCTGAGCCCTGTGTACCTGCCAGGCACTGTGCCAACCACTCCCAATGAGTTATCTTTGAATCTTCACCCAGCCCTGAGAGGCAGGTGGCATAATCATCTGTATTTACCCATGAAGAAACTGAGGTTCAGAGAGGTGGTCACTTGCCCAAGGTCACTGAGCCCGTAGACACCTGGTCATCAGTTCCTTGACCTCTGACCCATTGGAACCCTGTCAGCTAGTCTTCCGACCTCAGGCCCAAGGGAACTGAGTGCCCAGTCTCCTGACCTGTGACCCATGTGGACCTAGGTACTCATCTCCCTAACATCTGACCTCTAAGCACACAGACACTCAAACCCTGGCCATGAGCCTAAATAATTCCAGACGTCTGACTTGGTCTGGACCAGAGTCTTTTATATTTTCTCAGACTGAGGTGGTGGCAGAGTTGAGGGACCAGAGACTCAGGTTGTCTGGCATGGAGGGCCAGCCAAGGCCTAACCACCCTCAAACACACAGCCTGTGCTGAGGCAGATGGGCCGCCTCTCAGAGTCTCTGACCCTGTTCCCATGGGGCATGGGAAAGACATCCATTAACACATCCATATGTGTGCATGCATGAAATGGGCCTTCCCATGACTCCCACACACACAGTCAAGATGCCTCAGAAACACACATGTGATCTTCTCACAAACCCACTCCTCGTCTGTGTCCCCATCCTCTAGTACCCAAGCCAATGCCCCTCCCCACTGCAGCCCTGCCCAGCAGTCTCCACCACCTGTCTCTTGCTTCCTGAGCCTCCCTCCCACTGGGCCTCCTCCCCTCCCCAGAGTCCTGCCTGGTCCAGCCTCACCAATGCCCATCTGGTACCCTCCAATGACCAACCCTTATTTTTTGAGATATAATTCACACACCATAAAATTCACCCTTTGAAAGTGCACAACTCAGTGATTTATAGTATACTCACATTGTATAACCATCACCACTATCTAATTCCAGAACATTGTCATCACCTCAAAAAGAATACCTCATACCTATTAAGCAATCATTCCACATTCCCACCTCCCTTCAACCCCAGACAACTGCTAATCCACTTTCCCTATGGATTTGCCTCTTCTGGACATTTCATATAAATGAAATCATACAATGCTTGGCCTTCTGTGTCTGGTTTCTTTCACTTAGCATAATGTTTTCAAGGCCCATTCATAATGTAGCATGGATCAGTATTTCATTCCTTCGTATGGCAGAATAATATCCCATTGTCTGGATGCATGACATTTTGCTTACCCATTTCCCAGTTGTGGGCATTTGGGTTGTTTCTATTTTTTGGCTATTATGAATAATGCCACTATGAACATTTGTGTATGTCTTTCTTGGATATACACCTAGGAGTGGAATTACTGGATTATATGGTAACTCTACATTTAACTTTTTGAGAAACCACCAAACTGTTTTCCACAGCAGCTGCACCATTTTACATTCCCATGAGCAACACAACAGAGTTCTAACCTCTCTGCATTCTCATCAACACTTGTCATTTTCCTTTTTCTGGATTATAGCCATCCTACTCGATGTGAGGTGGTATCTCATTGTGGTTTTAATTTGCATAATTTCCCTAATGACAGTGTTTTCTGAAATGACCACAGCAATATTTCCTGTCCCACATGCTTCCAGAACCTTGCACTCCCCTATAAAGAAGTGAAGCCCATTTTCCCTTCCCTTGAACCTGGACAGGACTTTGGGATTGCCTCAACAAATGGAACATGGGAGGGTGACTGAAGAGCTCCTGAGGCCTGGTCCTACAAGGCAATATGGCCGCTGCCTGGATCTCTCTGTGGGATACTTGCCTTTGGAATCCACCCACCACGCTCTATGGAAGCCCAACCTAGCCACATGGAGAGACAACACAGAGGAACAGAGGCCCCCAGCCAACAGCCTGCATCAACTGCAGACATGTGAGTGATTGTGCCTTCAGATGGTTCTGGCTGAAACTCAATAGCTCATCATGAAGCAGAGATGAGCTATCCCTGCAGATTTCAGATTCGAGAGCAAAATACACGTTGCTATTGTTTTAAAACAACTGAGTTTGGGGTTCTCTGTTATGCAATAGGAGACAGCTGTAGCAATGCTGACACTGCTGGACCATGGACCACACTTTGAGTAGCAAGGGGCTGTGTCACTGGATCATTTGCATGTGCTGTTTTCTGCTTGTTGCACTCTTCCCATTTGCTTGGGAAGCATACACTCTTTCTTTGCTTGGCTCATTTGCACTTATTCCTTTGGTTCTCCTCTAAGAACACTTTCCTGATGTTTAAGGCTGGGCCTGTTGCTTCATCTGAGTCCCTCAGCCACCTACGCCTCCCCTATCCCAGCCACAACTCCTCTTTCTGGGCCCTCCATTCCAGCCCTGGTCATATTGGCTGTCCCTGTGTGGTGAGAGCTTTCTCCCCCTTGGCTGGGCTAAGCTACAGGAGGGCAGGCCTGGAGCTGACTTGGTCATTGCTGGCTGTAGCTCAGTCAGGGTGGTGCTGAGGATGGTACCAGTGTTGCTAACCACATCCACCCTAACTCCCTGAGTGTCTTCCCCATACATGTCACCTCTGTGGCCAAGGCCATGGCTCAAAGCAACTCCCACCCAGACATCAGGAGCCACCCACCATGCTGTCCTTGAATACTGAGCATTCCTTCCCAAGTCACTCACTCCAGGCTCTTCTCAGTGCCTCCCCCTCCAAGAGTGACCCAGACTCTGTGGCATGGAGCCCCACTCCCTCAGCCCTTGTGACTCCAACAGCCTGAATGGAGCTGCCAAGAGACCCCAAACTGCCCTCAGCCTCTTTTTAGAGTGCCAAGTAAAAGAGAGGGAGAGCTGCTCATTTGCATGTTCTTCAGGTGTCTTTCCCCTTGCCTGGGTGCTGGGGTTGGACTTCCAACATCCTCTCCAGCCCTCCCGCAGCAGAGCTCCCAGCACCTTAAGATCTGGCTAAGGCTGGCAAAGGAGGACCAGTGTGGGGATGGAGTCTTAACCCCTAAACTCCCCCTGCACCACCCCAGACTTGGGGGACAAAAAACAACAGGTTATTTTTAAGGAGGATATCCTCATAGACAGGGATTCAGCACCTCTTCTGCCAACATCTCACTTCTCTGGGAACATCCTCACTCCCAACTAGAAAGCGTTGTGATGAAGAATTTTCCAAAGTATCACTGAGTGTTTGTCCTCACTGGGAGTAATGGTTTTATGAATGTCCAAGTGTCTCCCCTGAAGAGATGCCTCTCCTCAGTCTGGACTCTCCACCTGGTGACTTGGGCATCTTTTCTGCAAACGCGGACCTGGGCAAGAGTTCCATATGCAGCCTAGCTTCTCCTCAGCCACCACCCGCAGTACCAGCCTGTCTCCTGCAGGGGGAGGTCTGACACATTTGCAACACCTCTGGGAACATCTATAAACCCTCCCTGCTCATCTACTCACCCACATTCCATTTTCAAATGTCTGAAATAGTGCTGTGACATAGAAATACAACGGGAGCTACATATGTAATTTAAAATTTTCTAGCAGTCATTTGAAAATGTTAAAAGAAACAGATGAATAAGCACATGAAAAGACACTCAATCTTATTTAACATTAGGAAAATGCAAATCAAAAACACAATGAGATACCTTCTCACACCCATTAGGATGAAAAGAAAAAGGAAGAAGAAAAAGAAAATAAGTGTTGGCAAAGATGTGGAGAAATCCCAACGTTCATGCATTGCTGGTGGGGATGTGAAAGGTACAGCTGCTGTGGAAAACAGCAAAGCTGTTCCTCAAAAAATTAAACATAGAATCACCATTTGATCCAGAAATCCAACTTCTGGGCATATACCCAAAGAATTGAAGCAGGGACTTGAACAGACATTTCTGCACGCTTGTTCATAGCAATGGCATTCACAATAGCCCAAAGGTGGTAACCCAGGTGCCCACCGATAGATTAATGGATAAACAAAATTAGGTGGGTACATGCAATGACGTATTATTCAGCCTCAAAAAAGGAGGGAAATTCTGACTCATGCTGCAGCACAGATGAACCTTGAAGACATTATGCTAAGTGAAATAAGCCAGACTCAAAAAGACAAACACATGACCCCACTCACATGAGGTTTGTGGAACAGTCAGATTCATAGAGACAGAAAGTAGAATGGTGGCTGCCAGGTGCTGGGAGAGGGGAATGGGGAGTTGTTTAATGGGGACAGTTTCTTTTTCTTTTTTTTCTTTTAAAGATTGGCACCTGAGCTAACAACTGTTGCCAATCTTTTTTTTTTCTTTTTTTTTTTTTTTGCTTTATCTCCCCCAAATCCCCCCTGGTACATAGTTGCATATCCCAGCTGCAGGTCCTTCTAGTTGTGGCATGTGGGATGCCGCCTCAACGTGGCCTGATGAGTGGCGCCACGTCCACGCCCAGGATCCGAACTGGCAAAACCCTGGGCCGCCTCGAGGAGCGCGTGAACTTAACCACTCGGCCACAGGGCCGGCCTAATGGGGACAGTTTCAATTTGAAGATGAAAAGAGTTCTGCAGAAGGATGGTGGTGATGGTTGCAAAACAATGTGAATGTACTCAACACCACTGAACTCGACATTTAAAGATGGTTAAAATGGTAAATTTTATGTTATATATATTTTACCACAATAAAAAATTTTAAAAATACAAGAGGTGAAATTAATTTTAGTAATCTTTTTATTTACCCCAATATACTCAAAATATTTATCATTTCAATGTTATTAATTTTTAAGATTGTGGAAATGTTTGATAATCTCTTTATCATACCAAGCCTTTGAAATCTGGTGTGTATGTCACACATACGGAGCACCTCAATTAGGGCTAGCCATGTCTCAGGTGCTCAGTAGCCATCTACCCACATCTCCACCAGAGACCCACGTCTCCTCTGCAACACACCTGCGGCTCCTCTGCAAATACACCTAGAGTTTCTCTACAAACCTCCCTGATCACCCACAAACATGCCCACAGCTCACAGGCCAACCCCTCAGTCTCATCTCAGACATCTTCAGAGAAAGTACTTGTTCAAGGAACACATGTGGGCTCCAAATCAACATTTCACTTGATTTGACCTGCACATCCCCCGTCTTCTTTGCATAAATTTGCATCTCATTCCTATGTCAATCGGAAGCACATTGGCAGGGCCTCAGATGGTCATCTCAAAGTCAGGGAGGCGGTGGCACTGGGCTGGGTGGGAGGCCCCCAGGTGTCCTTCCTCCTTCTTGCGCTCGGGCTCTTTGCCCTCCTCCTCTTCCTCGATGCTCTCCTTCTCCTCCTCTTCTTCCAGGAAGGCAACCAGTTCTTCCCGTAGCGCCCCCATCTCCAGCCCCAGGCTGCACAGCTGGCCCAGCAGCTGGGCGTCCACTCGGCGGAGGTTCCCCTGCCAGTGAGAAGGGGGAGTCATGGGCATCCCTCCCCAAAGGACAAGCAGTTGAGCTGCCCCCTTCCGGAACCTGGGTGGGAGCAGGTCCCGGCTCAAGTCCTGACAATATTCTTTGCTTGACCCAACTTGAGTCAGGCTCCTGAACCTTCTCCTAGACCCATCTGTGCACTTCCTTGTAAAATCCAGTTTTAGCAAGAATCCTCCATCCTCCCCATCTGATCAACCTCCATATCTGGTCAGCTTGCTCACCCTCCACCATCCCCGGAGTGCTGTCTGATCACCCTGGCCTGCCTCCAGCAAGAATCCCGTTAGGCCTTTTACCAGAATCCCCCCTTACCCATGATGTGTCCTCTTAGGAATTTTCCATCCACTGACCCCTGCTCCTTGGCTACAAATCCCCACTTGCCCATGATGTATTCAGAGCTGAGCCCATTCTCTCTCTCTTCTACTGCAAAAATCCCATCACTGTGGTCCCTACACCTATCACCTTACCATCTTTAAAGGTGTCATAAATATTTTTTCTAAACAATCCAGGCCTGCAACACTTGGGTGGGGTCCCCAGTGTGTCCCTGGACCCTAAGTACCATCCTGATCTCCCAGTGTCTCTTGATCTCTGTCTCTGTCTGTCTTTGTCTCTCCATTTCATTGTCCCTCACTGTCCCTACCTCTCTCTCTGTGTCTCTGAGTCTTAAGTCTCTTTGTTTCTCTTATTATGTCTCCTTGTCTTGTTATGTCTCCACTTGTCTGTCTCTGTCTCTTTCTTTCCATATCCCTGTCTCTTTGTCTGTCTCTATTTCTCTGCTCCTGCCTTTGATTGTCTCCACCTCTCTCTGTCTCTCAGATTTAATCTGAGTCTCTGTCTCTGCTGCTGCTCTCAATCTCTGCTTTCCATCTCTCTCTCTCTCTCTCTTTCTGGGTCTCTCTGTCTCTGTCCCTCTCTATTCCTGTCTCTCAGTCTTCGGATCTTTCTATGTCTCTGTCTCCATCTCTTTCTCTGTATCTATCTCTCTCTCTATTTCTCTATTCCTGTCTGTCAATGTCTGTCTTTCAATCTCTAGCCCCTTCTATTTCCGTTCATGCTTGTTCATTCATCCATTCTCTCTGTCTCCCCACCCCTCATCTCTTGCCCCTTCAAACCTCTCACTCACCAGCTCTTCCCAGATCCACAGAAGACGGTCCCAGACACCTTCAGTGTTTAACCCTGGGGACTTGAGGGTCTGATCAGCCCTCCCCGCTGGGGGGACCGCCATCAGGGCCGGGGGAGGTGGGCCTAGCCCTGGGGGCACGAGTCCAGCCTGCCTCAGCTGCCTCCACTGCTCCATAGTCTCTGAGCAACAGCAGCCAGGAGCAGGAAGTAGCAAGGTCCAGAGTGACCCAGTCCCCTGGGGAGCTTGGGGGTGGGGGGAGGAAAGGGCAGAGCGGAGGTGGGGGAGGAGGAGGCTGGGATAGCATCCCAAAGTCCATTCTGCAGTGAGAATCAGCAGCCTCGTGTGTTTCTTCTTTCCTGTTGACGTCTAACCTCAACTCTGCGCACAAGGGTCCAACCACAGCCCCTCTAGCAGAGGTCACACTCTACCTCTTCTCAGGCCTGACCTCTTATGGGTGCTGATGTCTGAATGCCTGGTCTCATCTCCTCCTACTCCTCCTCAGTCTCCTCTGCTGCCTTCTTCTCCACTTGGCCCCTGGTTAACCCCCTGCTTGGTCCTTCCCTCTACTCCACTCAGGCCATTCCAGGGCCTCCCAACCAGTGTGCCTGAGCAGCCAATGGTGGCTTCCAAGAGGATGACCCCTCAGTGTCCAGGCTGCTGTCCTACAGGGGAACAGCCAATTCTACCAACCACAGACTTGCCCACAGATATTATCACTATCAGCATTGGCCCGGCTGTGGGAAAGGTTGGGACACACTGTGGGCCTCATTCTGCTAGAATCTGTCTTTCAGGCTCAGGGTGTTCAAATTCCATCTGTACATCAATGGCTCCCAAGTCTGTGACTCCAGCCTTGACCTCCCTCCTGAGCTCCAGACCTCTACTCAGCATCTCCACCTGGATGCCTCAGGCATCTCAAGGTGAATATACTCAAAACAGAACTCTGAGTTGGGACTTACAACGCTGTATTAGTTTCCCACTGCTCCTGTAACAAATTGTCACAAACTTAGTGGCTTAAAACAACACAAAGTTATTATCTTACAGTTCTAGAGGTCAGAAGTCTAAAGTGGGTCCACAGGGTTGGGTTCTAGAGGCTCTAGGGTAGAACCCATTTCCTAGCCTTTCTCAGCTTCTGGAAGCCACCCGCACTCCTTGGCTCACAGCCCCTTCCTTGCATCACTCCAACCTCTTGCACCTCTCATCACGTCTCCTACTGACTGACCCTCCTGCCTTCATCTAAGAGGACCTTTGTGATTACATCGGGCCCATCCCGATTATCCAGGATAACCTTCCCATCTCAAGATTCTTCACTTAATCACATCTTCCCCTTACCACATATGTAACACATTCACAGGGATCAGGATGCACATATTTTGGGAGGGGACACTATTCTGCCTACCCCTGCTCTTCCAAACATGCTCCAATCCCAGTTTCCCCAGTTCCATAAGTGGCATCACTATCCTTTCAGTTTCTTGAACTATTGGCATGCTCTTCAAAATAGACTCATAATCTGAACACTTCTCACCATTTCCATCACCCCGTCCCTGCTCCTGTCCCCATTCAGCTCTTGTCTAGACTATTTCAGTAGCCTCTTTGCTACAGCCCTGCTTCCACCCTTCCCCTCCAAGATCTGTTCTCCACATGGCAGAGATGATCTTTAGAAAATGTCGATCAGATCATAACACACCCCTGAGAGTGGAATAAAGCAGTCAGCTTTCTGCCCACCACTCTGACCCAGTCTCCTACCTCTCTCCGCAAGCTGGTTCCCACCTCTGGGCCTTTGCACTGGTTGTTACCTCTGCCTGGATCACTTTTCCCCCAGATCTTTGAATGGCTGTCTCCTTATCTTCACCTCCACTTAATTGGCACCTCTTCAGAGAGCCTTTGCTGATGGCCCTGCCCCCTAGTCACTCCCTATTATATTGCCTGTTTTTATTTGCCTCTTATCAAACACTATCTGAAGTTATCTTGCTTATTCATTTGTTTCTTATCCATCTTCTCCCTGCCTGAAATGTTAACTCCCTGATAGAGGGACTTGGTCTGTCCTGTTCACCACGGTAACCTCAGCACCCAGGGTAGTTCCTGACACGTAGTAGGTGCTCAGTAAATACCTGGGGAGTGAATGAATAATTCTATCCAGAAGACTTCACCTTGAAACTTCACCCTGAGATCTAGCCTTGAACTCCAAACTGAAATCGAGAACACATCACAATACTAGTCTTGAGAGCTCACCTCTGTCTCTTGCCCTGAAGTTTAACTTCACCAAAACCCTCGACCTCTCCCTTCCCTGACCCTGGCTTAAAGAATGAGACAGTCACTTTCTCAGTCACATCATTCCCTGTTTTACGGAGGTAGCCAGTGAGAGCTGAAGGAACAAGCAAGTTCAGGGGGACTGTGAGCACAGCCGGGGGGAAGGTCGGTCCTCCACCAGGAAGTATTGCACACCCTCCCCTAGGGAAAGCCTGCAGAGTCCCATTTTAAGGCCCACGGAGAGGGCTCCCAGCAATCCCTAAACCCAAGAGTAAAAAGAGCTGGCGCCTTTACGAGGAGGGTTGGAAAACGGAGGAGGTGTGGCCGTACGAAGAGAAGTCTTAGCCGGAATTAGGCGGGTGGAATAAGACCGGCCCCTTCCGGTTACGTAATCCTATCAAGATGGCGGCGCCCAAGGCGGTAGGTGACCGGCGCTCCTGGAGTCCCCAAAATTGAAATCCGCTCTGCTACCTCTGCCTTCAGGGACTCTGTCGCTGCCCAGGGAGCAGGAAGCGAGAAGGAGCAGGAGGCTCCTCCGCTGGTCCTTGCGCTGGGAGTGTACACGTGTGGCCCTCAGGAGCCCGGAAGTAGCGGCGCTGGTCGCAGAGGACGTTTGGAGAGGGAGCGGGGCGGGGACTTGGCGGAGAGGAACCAATGGGGAAGTAGGAAGTGTGTTCCGAAGATGGCCCCTCAGCCAATCGAAAGGAAGGATTCGACTGGGGGCCCAGGGAGTCATTGGGCGGCCGAGAGTGGGACCTGCAGCGGAAGAGGGTTTGCGGGATTGCGGAGAAACTGGCCTTTGAGCTCCAAGGGTAGGAGACCAGAAGGTATGGGTGAGGGAAACTCGTGGGAGAGTTAGGAATTTAGATGGAAAACCAAAGGGATGATGGCGGGGGTAAGGGGCAGGAACCTAGAGGTGAATTTGGGAGTTCCAAGGGAAAGACCTGGGGAAAGTTAAGGAGAGGATTTGCAGTATTCGTGGGAAGAATTCAGGAAGAATTGGGCAAAATCAAGGAGTGGATTTAGGGAAAATGAAAGTAAGAGGTCGGGAGCTTAAGAGGCTTAAGAGGAATTTTGAGGGAAGATAAGGATTTGAGCAAACTTATTCTGAGAATTTGGGGCAAAAACAGAAATTGGGACAGGCTAAGAGAAGACTTTGGAGGGGAAATTGAAGGAAGAGTTTGGCGGCTTTAAGAGGTAAATTAAGGGTGGTTTGGAAAGAAATTAAGATTATATTTTGGGGAAAGAAATGGTTTATTAAGGAAGACTCCAGGGAGAAATGGATAAAATTAAGGAAATAATTTATGGGAAATTAAGAGGTAAGATAATAGAGATGTTGAGAGAAAAATAAGGGTTGGGGGAGAATTTGGGAAAACCAAGGATATTTGACCAAATCCAAGAGAGAATTTAGGGTTGGTTAAGGGGAAGAACTTGGGTAAACGTGGGGAAATTGGGGCGCTCCTAAAGGCAGAATTTGGAAGTTCTGAAAGGAGAATTTAGTAAGCCGCAAAGCGTTGTGGGGGTGGTGGGGAGATTCGTGGAGCAAGAACAGGGGGATACTGCCCTGTCTCTCACAGGAGGTTTCAGTCTCGGCCCCTCTTCTCCTCTCCTCCTGTCTAGTCCCTGCACCTGGTGGCCCCAATATGGAAAGGGGGTCCCAGGGGCATCCGTGGCCTGAGCAGGACAGTGGCCCCAGAGGGCAATCAGAGGAAGGGGAGGACGGTGCTCCAGTTCCTGGCTGACCGCTTCTATGATGTGCAGGCTCTGAGGGAATATCTGCTTCGAAAGCAGGTGTCGAAGGTGCACCAGAAAAATCGGTGAGAACCCCTGGCCTACAAGACTGCTGCCAGGCAGAACCCAGATCCTACCCTTGCCACTCCAAGGCAGCCCTGTGACTTCCAGTACCAGCCTTGCTGACTTACATCTTCACCTCCAGCCCACACCCTTCCCAAGGACTGCAGCTCACATAGGCAACCTGCCGCCCACCATCTCCTCTTAGAGGTCTAGCTGGCATGTCAAACCTAACATGGCTAATGGCAAGCCCTTGATTTCCCCCTAAGAAAGTCTGCTCACCTCTAAGCCTTCCCTATCCCAATAAACAGCACCACTGCCCACCCAGTTGTTCAGGCCAAATTCTAAGGAGTCATCCCTGATTCCTCTCTTTTCTTCTCTGCCCCCACATCCAGTCCATCAATAAAATACTACAATATCCTAAATTTGACCAGTTGTCACCTCCTCATTGTTTGTAGCCTGGTCTGAGCCCCTTCGTTCTATGGTTGGATTAGCGTAGGCATCTCCTAACTGGTCACCTTTTGCCCCCTGCAGTCTATTAGGGTCTACAAAGCAGTCGAAGAAAGTATTCTTCAGAAAGTAAAATAGGGCTGGCCCGGTGGCACAGCAGTTAAGTTCGCATGTTCCACTTTGGCAGCCCAAGGTTTGCCAGTTCAGATCCTGGGTGCGGACCTACACACCACTTGTCAAGCCGTGCTGGGGTAGGTGTCCCACATATAAAGTAGAGGAAGATGGGCATGGATGTTAGCTCAGGGCCAGTCTTCCTCAGCAAAAAAGAGGAAGACTGGTGACAGACGTTAGCTCAGGGCTAATCTTTCTCAAAAAAAAAAAAAAAGAAAAGAAAGTAAAATAGATAACATTACCACTTTGCTTAAAACCCCCTGATGATTTCTGATTGCAACTAGCATAAAAGTGAAACTCCAAGCCCTAAAGCCTGGCCTCTACTGAGCTTTAAGACCCTTGCCAAGGACTCCCCTCACCTCCACCAACATGGCATCCTTATTGCTCTTTGTTCAACCATCCTCATCTGAGCCTCCAAGCCTTTGCTCTAGCTGTTCCCTTGGCCTGGCAGGCTTTGCCCTGACCTCTGTATTCCTTCTCACCACTCAGATCTCTGCTCAAGTGTCACCTCCTCCGAGAAGCATTTCTTAACACCTGAACTAAATCAGCCTCCCCAATCCCCACCCCGGACCGGAACCACTCCTCGTCAGCCCCTGTGTTTTATTTTCATTATGGAATTGATACTATCTGCAATTTGCTTTTACTCCTTGGTTTATTATCCGTTCTCACTGTAAGATAGCTTCACAAGAGCAGGGACAGTTATCTGTCTTGGTCGCCACTGTCCCTCAGTGCCCAGCACTTAATGGGCACTCAATAAATATTTACAGCCTGATTCAGTTTGCCTGTCTGTGTGTCTGCCTGCCTGTCCATCAGCCCTGGTGCTGTGGACTCCGACCCCCAAGCAGCACCCGGGCATGGTGATGGGGGCGGTGCTCGCCAGGCCTCACCCTCACCTCCTGTTCTCTTGGCAGATCCTTCACCTATGTCAAGGAGCAGTACGGCCCGTACATCGCAGCCGCCTATTTCGTTCTGAAGCAGGGAGGCGCAGTCAAGTATGACAGTAAAGGTGTCAGGGGGTTGGAGGGGGTGGTAGAGCGTCTCTCTGAGCCCTGGGCTCTGCAGTCAGACAGCCTTCCCCGTGAGTCCCTGCTCTCTGCCCCCTACTGACGTGTGACCTGGGGCTTGTTCCTGAGCTTCAGTTTTGTCATCTGTAGAATGGGATGGTAGTTGTATCTAACCTACAGGGTTTGCTGTAAAGATTCAGAGACATTTGCAATCTAAACACTTGGAACACGGCCTGGCATAGCACATGTGCTCAATAAATGTGTTTCTTTTCTTTCCTCTTTCCCCCTCCTTTCTCCTTCCCTTTGGGTTTTTTCCCCCTTTTTCTTCTTTTTTGAAAAAAACAATTCATGTAGACTCCATCCACCCCACATCTTGGTTCCAATTAAAATTCACTGTTTGCGCACTTCCTCTAGCACCTTCCTTAGAAACAGTCGATGTATCTGAAAATGTCTCAGCTTTTGCCCATCTGTGAGGATTCTTGTATTACAGCTCTTTTCTCTTATGTTAGTAATCTCTCTGGCCGTCAGCTTCCAGGTGTGTAAAATTGACCAAACATTCCATCTTGGATGGGATTGTCAGAATATCCAATGAGACCAGACATGTAAAGCCCTTAGTCCAGGGCCTGCTATGTAGTAAGTGCACCAGATGCAATACGATCATTTTATTGTACGGGGCTAGCGAGCGTTCTCAAGAGGCTGGAGGCCTGGGGAGAGGCAGGGTACCCTGCTGACATTCCCTGTCTCCCATTCCAGGTTTCAGGGCCAGGAGTGGATGCGGCCAAATGGCCGTGGCCGCTTCTCTCTTGAGTTCTTCAAGTTCCAGGCAGTGCCTGTAGAGGCTGTCGATGCCAGTGGCTGTGCCATCAACTACCAAGGCCTGGACAACCTCTGTGAGTGGGGTAGGGTGGGGTGGAGTGGAGATGGGCAAGGCTCTGCATTTTCCCTTTTGTGGTGGGCTCCAGAAGGGCCCTCAGTGCCATCTGCTCTCTCCCCCTACAGTGGCACTGAAGGAGCTCCAGTCCCTGTCGCTGCAGCGTTGTCCCCATGTGGATGACTGGTGTCTTAGCCGCCTCTACCAGCTGGCTGGCTCACTGCAGGAGCTCTCACTGGCCGGTTGCCCCCAAGTCTCTGAACGGGGCCTCGCCTGCCTCCACCACCTCCAGTGAGACCTCAGCACAGGCTGGGCCCCAAACCAGGGCAGGGGCTCCCACCCAACACAGATACGGGAGAGGAAGTGGGGAGGGGGCACTGCTGGGTGGTTCCCCGTATCACCTGCCTCCATGACAGACCTCAAGCTGTGTGCTGCATCAGCACATAGTTGCAAGAAATCTCTGGGAGGATGGAAGGACTCCTACTTTGTCGTCTTTTTGTTTTAATGAGAACTCCGTGGTATTTATACTGTTGCAGAACAGTAGGAGCCAGAGGTGTCTATTTGTAACTAACAGTGGATTTCATGTACTTGGACATTTGAAGGCTTTTATTTTAGGAAGCTAGGTGTTGAAGTGGGGACTGGTACACCCCCCTCCGCACACACACACACACGCCATCCTCACACGGGCCTCCCCCCCTTCTTGCCTCCTCTCAGGAACCTCCGCAGGCTGGACATCTCCGACCTCCCTGCCGTGTCCAACCCGGGCCTCACTCAGATCTTGGTGGAGGAGATGCTGCCCAACTGCAATGTTCTGGGGGCTGACTGGGCCCAGGGCCTGAAGCTGGGGCCGGAGGAACAGTCTCAGGACACAGCCAGGTCCATCCCTGCCTAGCCCTCAGCCTCCTCCCCGTCAAGCTGGATCTCAGCAGGGCTGTGTTGAGTGTCTGACAGTTCTCCATACTTCTGGCTTTCAGTTGGGTTCATTCAGTGTCGGGTGGAATGAGGGTTGCGGCACTGGCAGCTCAGGGGGAAGGAGAGCAGGAGGTCATGGTATTTATTCCCCCACCTGAGGGAGGTGCTGGCTGCACCCTGGGAGGAAAGTCACCACTCCTGTCATCCTGTCAGGCAGCCTTTCCCACACACTCCCCTCCTTCCCAGTTCCAGTCACCTCCTCCTCCTGCCTCTTCAGGCCTGGGGAGGTCAGGGCTCAGTTGTAAGTCGCCCCAGAAAGCTGCACTCTCCCTCGTGGTTTCCCCCGACTTTGCCCACTGCTATGTCCAGAAATTCTTGTTTTGGCTTTTGTCA